TCTGGCCATGGTAGGGCGAAAGAATGTACGTATCGCTTTTGAATGCATTCTCTCGCCCTACCATGGCCAGAGTAAAGTTCTTACTACAATTTTGCTTCTTTCTCTTATTATATAAGTTTAATAATAATAATAATAATAATAATAATAATAATTTACTTTATTCCAAAAACGGTACTTATAATACAGAATGGAATTCTCAGCATTTGTCACAATATTGCATCTGATTTACTCAAAGTGTATATAAAATTAAAAATTAAAACAAAAATTAATCGGAGGAATTTGTCCACATTAACGACATAATTATTAGATATAATAATAATAATAAATACTAATAACAGTGAGTTTGTTTCAAACGGTATTGTCGATTCAGTTTGGAAACTTTAGCATGTTATGGATAATTGGGTCTAATGTTCTGTTGATATGGTATAGTGAGGTGAAATACAAAGTTAATAGTCATAATACAGCTTAAAATTATGTCCACACTTATGGAAAATAAAATAAACAAAACGAAAAAATTGAGAGGATTATAAATATAAGAAATACAATAACAATAAAGTATGATGCTTTAAGGTTGAAAGAAATGGTCTATTTAGTGGTGCTAAGAAGGTTAGTTAGTTCATTTCTGACACTATTTTCATCACATAAAGTACGTGCTAAATATGGTATAGTGGAATTTTTATACTTAGACGTACGTGCATAAAGTCTTCTGAAAAGACTTCTTGTTTTACCTGAGGAGACATAAGGTTGGAGCTGCTGGTAGAGTGGGTGCTCAGAGTCTGACAAAATTCCTCTAGCGAATCTGTTGCATGACATCAAATGCCTATCGGTGACAATGCCAACGATATGGCTCAATGGGATACCACTCGTCCTACTGACAGTCTTCAGAGTTCTACGAAGTATGACATAGTCCTTTTTTAGCAATCCAAGAAAGAATAATGGTGAACAGTAAAGAGGAATAGGTAAAATACACGAGTTGATAAACTGTAAGAGGAGTGGTTGAGTTATGCCCGAGTGCCTTAACTTTTTAATGTAAAAAGTTAAACGAAATATTCTCTTAGAAATCGCTAAGACATGAGAAGACCAAGATAGGTCAGAAGAGAGAACTAATCCAAGATACTTAACTTCAGACTTGCTTTCTATATCAGTATCATCGATTTTGCAATAATAATATTATTATTCCCATCATCCACATTTTATTACCACTCTATTACTGTTTATTAATAACATTGCTTTATCACACAGATTTTATATAAAAACACTTGATCACCTTTCCATTAGTTCCTGTTCATTCTACACGAGCTTACTGATTAGTCATTAACCTCACACACTTATTACGTCATGCCAACTTCTGTCTCTTTTCTAACTTAAATTAGTCATCTCTTCTAGGTTACACATTACATTATGTAATACAATTTTCCATATAAGTGATTTTGTTTAGGATGTACGCAGTTGAAGAGAATTCACGAAATAAAGTGAGTTCGTATTATCCTGCAGATATGTTTGTTCTTTCTTTATTCAAACTTATGATGAAGGGAATCGGCTGTGCGAAAATAAAATCAACTGGGGTTTTCCTTATGAATAAATGGGTATATTTCGCGATTATATATATATATATATATATATTTCAGTAAATTGAATATTCCCACAATTAATTCAGAACAAAATATTTAGAGCGAACAATTGTGGTTTCAATAAATTCTTCTTCAGGCTCTACAATTATAAATCCATTAATTTAAGCATACAACAGCCAGCCAGTGAAGGCAAATTAGAATCACATCAGAAAGTGTATTGTGGAACAAATATAAGATGGCATGGAACAATAGTCAGATAGTTTTTCAATATGCATGGTCAATGAGAACATGGGACAAAATGAGATGAAGTAATTTAATTTAATGATTTGTGTATATATATATAAATACAGTCAACAGAAAATACAGGTTTCGAGAGTGAGTGTAATCAGGGTGTGTGAGACAATATGAAAATAAACCAACGAATGGGGCCGACTAGACATAAGTTCAAGGTTGAAAATAACGACAATAAGAATGATTGTAAAATACTAACGATGATATGGTGTAAAATTACAATCACTATTGGTGAATGATTGTCAAATAATAATAATGAATATAATGATAATACTTGTTCCACAATACACTTTTTGATATGATTCTAATTTGTCTTTACTGGCTATTGTATGCTTAAATTAATGGATTTATAAATGCAGAACCTGAAGAAGAATTTATTGAAAACAATTGTTCGCTCTAAATATTTTGTTTTGAATATATATATATATATATATATATATATATATTTCATGCCCAGGTGCATGAAATAACCAGACTATAAGGTTTATAAATTCACACTAACCTGTCATATCAAACCTAAAATATACACCGTGTTTTACAATGTCAAAGTAACCAAGTTACAATAACTAGTACGTATATTTTTTTTACTGGTCATTGTGTGACATGATTTCTTACACTGGGTAGTTTGACAATGTATAAAACACGGTGTATATTTTACTTTTGATATGAGAGGTTAGTGTGTGTGTGCGTGGTATAAACACTCCATTTTCAGCCGATGGACCACAAGTTCGAACCCCGCTCCACCTACTTCAGCTTGGACAGCTAGCTAGCTGGGTAGCAATCACCGGCGCTCAGCCTCGTTGACTTACAATATGCAGACGATATAGTCCTTCTAGGCGAGGACGCTGACAAAATGCAGAGTATTCTGAACACATTGAGCAGCAATCTTCGTATGTTTGGCATGCGATTCGCCCCTGTAAAATGTAAGATGATGTTGCAGGATTGGACTACACCGACCCCTAGATTACAAATAGGAAGTGAAGTGGTAAAGCACGTTGACCGCTTCACTTATTTGGGAAGTCGCATCAGCCAGTGCCAACGGGTTGATTGCTGACGAAATCTCAGCATGGATTCAGAAAGCTAGTTTCGCATATGCCAGTTTACGCTGTCTCTAGCGTAGACGTGATATCCGACTATCGACCAAAGGGCGTGTATACTGCTCAGCAGTCCGCTCCGTCCTCCTTTATGGTTGGTTGTGAGACCTAGTCATTGAGAGTGGAAGAGAAGAAAAGGCCAGCTGTCTTTGACCATAAGTGTCTGCGTTCTATCTCCCGTGTGAAATGGTATAATAGGGTGAGCAATATTTAGGTTAGGCGTCGAGTGCTAGGTAAAGAGGTGAAGTCAATAGACGAGACTGTGAAGCTACATCGAATGAGATGGTTAGGACATGTGTTACTTATGCCTAGTCATCGCCTTCCTCGACGGGCAATGTTAGCTGACATGGAATGGATCAGGTTAGAAGAGAGAGCTAGTGGTGGTCAAACCAAAACACGGCTTCACCAGTCAATGAAATCCACAACAGTTCATATGAACTGTGATCGAGATTTGACCGAAGAGTTGCAAAATAATTGAGCGCTGAGTGAGAAGCAGACATTTATAAAATTATATTTGTAAAATCTCAGCGAAATTGAAATGATTAATTCCAACGTTTCGTTCGGCAATCTGGTCCGAACTTCTTCAGGGAAATTAATCGAATTAAAATAACAGAGGTTTATATATAAAAGGAACAACTTATGTTTTAAATTGTTTGTCCTGTCATGTGAATCAAGAAACAGCTATCAATAGGTATAATAAACAAAACAAAACAAAAAAATTTTTATATGAACTGTGATCAAAATTTGACCTCAGACTTTCAAAATATATGTGTATATGCAGTATCAATGGACTTGAAGAAGCTAGAAGACAACTCAGCGATTGCACTACATTCGATAGAAACGGGACACAAAATCGACTTTGATAAGACTAAGGTTTTACAGAAAGGTTTTGTTTCATATAAAGAAAGACTGACTGCAGAAGCCCTACACATATGGGTGAATCCCAACAGTTTGAACAGACGTGAAGGTGTGATCTTAGCTGATGCATGGCAAATCCTGACTAATAAATAAATTGGATATGTAACAACTAGTCACACTTGATCAAATTCCCCATTGTCTACGTCTTCTTATGGAGAGACTAACAAATTTGTAAAATTATATTATATTTGTAAAAAATCTCAATTATTCTGTAACCATCCGGTCAAATCTTGATCACAGCTCCTATGAGAATAACAAATGTTTTATGACTGTTCACCCACACACACCATTGATACTGCATATACACATATATTTTGAAAGTCTGAGGTCAAATTTTGATCACAGTTCATATAAAAATTTTTTTGTTTTGTTTTGTTTATTATACCTATTGATAGCTGTTTCTTGATTCACATGACAGGACAAACAATTTAAAACATAAGTTGTTCCTTTTATATATAAACCTCTGTTATTTTAATTCGATTAATTTCCCTGAAGAAGTTCGGACCAGATTGCCGAACGAAACGTTGGAATTAATCATTTCAATTTCGCTGAGATTTTACAAATATAATTTTATAAATGTCTACAACAGTTAGTCTAAGTTACGTAGGAAGGTGTAGACTTCCTGGCTGGTTGGGGTCCTCGGGACGGTAAAAATCAATGGTTGGAAACAATTGATGACATGGCTCAAAATCGTTCTCAATGGCTGGTGCAGATGCATCCACTCCTTGTGACTTATGATTTTCAATGAAACTGTTTTGTTCTTCGTTATTACTATACCTTTGTCTCACACCTCTGTTTACTGTCTATATTATGCATTTCTCCTACTTTCTTCTCTTGCTTTGTGTGCTACAAGGAGTGGGGTATGGCGACTTGAACTGCCGCACATATGTGCAAAGTTCTATGTCGATAACAGACAGCTCTTAGCCTGGTATACATGAAAAATCTGTTTCAGGGTAAGTCAGATGAAATAAACAAGCAAGCAGACAAGCAAACAGTATGTGGGACTTTTGACTTTTCTTTTAAGATGAACACGCATCACTACAAAATCTGTCCAAGGAATGGATCGATTCAACTAACCAAAATACAATACAAATAGATTTCAAAAAGGCAAATAAAAGTCATCCACATACATATATGTATATTGTATTATAACTAAAGTGTATATTTACAACCAATTCTAAAACTTTAGCTCACGAATGATACAGGGGATAAACAAACTATGGGATAAGTATACCAAAATACATGTTATTATCTAATTGAAGACGAAAGTCTTTACACTTCAGTAGCAGCAGCGGCAGCATTAGTAATAGAGCAAGAACGAGGAGGAAGAGGAGAGAGCAAGCAGAAAAGAAAGCCTTACCACATAGCATATAACTAACACTCCACCTTCAGTGAAAATTAACACTACTAGAAATTTAAAAAGTATAGAACCACCACATAGAATGGTATGTTTCCCAGTGAATTATTACACTGTTTATTTTAATCTTTAGGTCGATAGTCATCATCATAGTAGAATGAACTGATTGGTCTGTCTTTATCGAAATACTGAAGACTTGAATTTGTTTCCGATTGTTTTTTGCCTTCATCAGTTACCACCACCTCGGGTGTTTTAGAATTAGAATACGCAGGTGAAGATTGTTCAGGATGATGACGATAATATTCTCTACGTTCTGCATAACTCATTGGTGGATGTTTTTCAACAGGTGTATTTACAATAATAGGCGAATCAGGAGTTGGTTGAAATGTTCCACCACCAGATTGAGTGAATTGTTCTACTCTGAGAATTTGATCTTTTATACGACTATCGTTCAGTTGAAGAAACATACGCTTACATTCACCGATATAACTTATTTTGCCAAGAAAATAACCAACAGTCATACTGACAACATAACACGGGATTCGAAGCATTCTACGTTTTGTAAAGAAACCATATTTGTCAGCGACGGTGACAGCTAAACCAGCACCAATTGTAAACGGTACACTACCTCGCCAAAATGATAACTGTCGACACTTTTTAAGCGTGGTTAAATCTTCTTCTGTCAATTGGACTGGATCACTCGGTGGAAACATATCTTGGAGAGACAGAGAGAAAACACATAGTATTCATAATTAACCAAAATATACTCTGATGAATAATTATGTTTGATAATATGTCAGATATAGCCTTAGTTACAGTGAATTATTGTTATTATTATTATTGATTGATGACAGAGCATAGTTTATCGCTTCTTCTGCTGATATTTCTAAAGGGCAATATAGTTAGATTGAGGTAGAGGTGGATGGCTAGGTCACGTGCTGCCCATGTCTAACCATCGCCTTCCCTGACGGGCATTACTAGATGATATAGGTGCAGGTTGGAAAAGAGGAAGTGGTGGCCAAACAAAAACATGACATCAATCAATCCATGAAATCTCTAACAGTTAAACCCAGTCAGGTAGGGAGATGCAGACTTCCGGGTTGGGGCCCGCCCTCGGGACTCTAAGAATCAATGGCTAGAGACAATAGGTGACATGGCTCAAAATCGTTGTCAATGGCTTACGCAGATGTATTCAGTCTCTGTAATCTTTCATATTCCTTTCTACCATTACTCATTCTGTTTCACTCTTATACTTATCTAAATTCTATTGATTCTCTTCTCTCATTTTCCTGTCTACCTTTGTGTGCTATTTGGAACGTGGCAACTCGAACTGCTGCACTTCGGTGCCAAGTTCTGTGTTGAATCCAGACAGATAGACATAGGTGGATCAATAAGTCACGGATCATCAAAATCAGCCGACAGGTTGGCAGAAGAGGCTAGCAGCGAAGACAGGACTTCAAGTAAACATAACGAAGACGAAGGTAATGAAGAAAGGATGAGGATGTCAAAAGCAGCGAGAATTGGGAAGGCAAGACACGCCTACATCACTCTGAATTTTAGTGTGTGTAAATCAGCTCTACTCAGCATGAGAAACGAAATTTGAATTTTTCAATATCAATGTTAAATCAATCGTTAGTTCTTGTATATGGATCAGAAACTTGCAGTGCGCGTGAGTCACGAAAAGCATTTTGAACAGGCTACTGCATACAGCTTTCCTCTCTCCCCGTACTGAAAATTAAATGGACGGAGAGAAAGAATTAGCAACAGGGGACGAACCTATGAAGAACCGATCGCTCAATAAAAATATCATGAAGAAAATAGAGATGGATCGGACACACGCTGATGAGACCATCGCGTGTGACATTACGCCAGCCAAGCCATCGCTCGAGTGGAACCCAGATGGGAAACGATGCGGTGTGAGTCCGTGGGTGACATGGAGGAGATCGCGTGAAGAGGAGCTGAAACAGTGTGGACTAACATGGATGCAGGTGAAAAGTACAGCAGAATACAGAAACAAGTGGAGACGTGCAGTTGAAGCGCTATGTTCCACTAGGAACCCAAGGGAACAATAATAATAATAATTACTATGGAGTTGAATGAAGACAGGCTAGAGTACATCCACTTCACTAGGTTTTTTTTTTATCTAACAAACCTCAACGAGGCTAATCACACACTACACAGATTGGGGATTAGTAATAGGAGGGTGGGATGGTTCCTTGAATAATAGAATGCTTAGGTTTAGCTAACCATAGCTTTCCATGAATTGAATCCTACTGTCACTAGAGCGCATAGTACATTGAGATAAACAGTAGGTAGGTGTGCTGTCTCCATTCCTATTAGAGTTTTATAAATTTATTCGACTACCTGACACCTTAATACACTTTACACTATAATAGCTCTACAATGCTTGTGTGGTGGTCGCAAGACAAAAACGTGAAAAAATGCTACGAAACTATTTTTGAAATACCTGGAACATGAACAAAATCTCTTTACAGACTATAACACATCAAATGGGCGAGAGACCATTAGACTTCATAGGATACTGGACAACAGTAATGACCCAGTACAGTATTAAGGACTCCTTAATTCATCATAAAAGATAACTGAAAGCGATTTCATGTGTAACCTTTCTCCTTTAGACAATTTACTGACATTTTTTGTTTGATTGGTTGGAGGATTTCGTCATGAGCTGACATCCATTAAAGAACCATTGGAAAACCACCACTGGGAGTACTGGACAGCTGTTTCGTCAGCCTAGTTTGGGGCTCTTCATCAGTACACATCCACCGGGGTTCGAACCCAGGACCTTCTGGTTAAAAGACTAGCAAGCTCGTAGACCATTAAGCCACTGGGACCCGATCCAATGGCCAGCCCATGAATTCTAACTTCTGCCAATTCATGACATAGCGCGGCCACTTCTCAATGTCTTCTTGGATAAGTTACTGCCTCACCTTCAACCTGCTGCACCCTACACTGGTCATGGCTTCCTACTAGAACACCCAGGTCACTGCCTGAATAGGGCCTTATGAAAAAAATAAGAAAGAAAGCCTTTGACTTATATAAGTAACTTTTTCACTCATTATTGGCTTGCTGTCAATTTTCGTTTAAATGATTCTTATGACAGTAAATATTTTGACTTACTTACCTTTATTATTGACAGTGGAAAATGAATGAAATAATCCAACGGTAAGTGAAACAGGTAGCTATCTCAAATCCTTTCACATATAGTCTATCTAATTTAACGATGAGAATGAGGCTTTCACAAGAGAAGTGTTAGCCTTGTAAGCTAGTAGAAGGTAGATTTGATTCTCTTTACCTCAAACGACAATATCTGCAAAAAAGACATTAAGTGTTCATTTAATTAATTAATAATAATAATAATTTAAAACTTGTAGCAATATATAAATACGATAAACGAAAAACACATGTGGACGATGTGTATACGAAAGCAACAGCATTAAACCATTTTGTTACATTCCTAATAGTTGACTGACTGGTTTCAGCATAGAACTTTGCACCGATTTGCAGCAGTTCGAGTTGCCACACTTCACTCAGCACACAAAGCCAGAGAAGAAGAAACTAAATAGAAATGCAAAAGAGAGACAGTAAACAGAGATATGAGGCATAAAGAATAGTAATATCGAAGAACAATATAGTTCTTTCTATTGGGTATTATAACTCACAAGGAGTGAATGCATCTGTGCCATTGAGAACGATTTTGAGGCACATTACTAATTGTCTGCAGCCATTGGTGTTTACCGTCCCGAGGACCGTAATCAGGAAGTCTACACTTTCCTACGCGGCTTAAACTAACTGTTGTGGATTTCATTGACTGGTGCCATGTTTTCGTTTGACCACCACTAGCTCTCTCTTCTAACCTGATCCATTCCATGTCAGCTAACATTGCCCGTCGACGGAGGCGATGACTAGGTATGCGTAACACATGTCCTAACCATCTCAGTCGATGTAGCTTCACAGTCTCGTCTATTGATTTCTCCTCTTTACCTAGCACTCGACCTATGCCTAACCTCAATATTGCCCACTCTATTTTACCATTTCACACGGAAGATAGAACGCAGACACCTATGGTCAAAGATAACTGGCCTTTTCTTGTCTTCCACTCTCAATGTCTAGGTCTCACAACCAACCATGAAGGAGGACGGAGCGGACTGATGAGCAGTATACACACCTTTTGGTTGATAGCCGGTCGGATATCACGTCTACGCCAGAGATGGTGTAAACTGGCATATGCGAAACTAGCTTTTTGTATCCATGCTGAGATTTCGTCAGAGATCAACCCGTTGGGGCTGATGGTACTTCCAAAATAAGTGAAGTGGTCAACGTGCTCTACCACTTCACTTCCTATTTCTAAGTCAGGAGTCAATGTAGTTCAGTCAGTCATGCAGCATCATCTTACATTCGGCAGGAGCGAATAACATGCCAAACATTAGCAAATCGCAGCTCAAGGTGTTCAGAAGACTGTATTTTGTTAGCGTCTTCACCTAGTTGGAAGGTCTATATCATCTGCATATTCTAAGTCAACGAGATTATTCCCTGATAGTAACAAGTCAATGAATCCCTGAGTCACTGAATTCAGTTAGGGTTAAGTCCATTAGTATATCTATGATGAAATTGAATAGAAATGGGCATAGTGGACATTCCTATTAGTTAGTCCCGACCGATAGCTGCTACCTTGACGTGGTGGTCGGGCTTGCATATCGCAATGACCCAACGAGCTACACTGGCTAGAACTTAAGTTCCTATAGGTCCTACCATGCCAGAAAGGTTGTTTGGATAGCGGTTAGACAAAAACCAGCTACTCAATCCAACACTATGATTCAAACAAATTCACTAAATATTATGCCGGATCGGTCGGGGCTTGGATTAACAACGACCGCGCTTTCTGCTGCCGTGTCACAGGGCAGAAGTGATAAATATGCTACTGAGACACACCAAATGAAAAAGAACAAACAAAAGCAGGTCGCGTGTGACCGGCCTCAAGCAGTTGTCCCCTGGGCTCTGCGGTCACGCAACACTAACCTTTTCTCTATTTCAGGTACCCGAAGACTCAACCAACTTCCATGGTGTGGGCAGCCGGGAAGTAACAACCGCCCACACACTTCCAAAAGCACACGAAGCCTTCCTGAGCATTACTCTCCCTTACTCACATCACCTTCCTCATCTCGCTTCTCTACTACAGTTAGCACTATTCTTCAGGCTAGTGAGTCATCTTCACTTCATTCTACGACCACAAACAATGATGAGAGCCATAGAAACACCCCAGATAGCCTTTTAAAGCCACGTCGCCAACTTCATATAGGAGCTTTTAACGTCAGAACCCTCTGCCAAATCGGACAACAGGCATCACTAGCAAGAACTCTAGAGCCATGGATGTATGTTGTGTTTCGGAGACACGCATACAAGACCTGAGTGTGATCATTCACTTGACCTCACCCGGTCAACAAGGTGAATCTGCAAAATTCACTTTAACGGGGTCGGGTGACCCTCAGCTAGCTCACGAGGACTCGCAGGTGTAGGGATAGCACTTAGTGTTGGGGCGGAAAAATCACTTCTTGACTGGATCCCGGTAGATAGTCGTATGTGTGCGGTCCGTCTGAATGGGTCCGTTAAAAGAAGGAAAGACGGTGATACCCGTCGTTGCCTTCTCGTAGTCTCCGCTTACGCCCCAACAGACTGCAGTTCGGGTGAATTAAAAGATGACTTCTACCTGAAACTGTCTAATTTGCTGCAAAAAGCAAAACGTTCAGACATAGTTGTTTTAGCAGGCGACTTCAATGCCCAAGTAGGGAAGTTGTGCCAGACTGAGAAGTATGTAGGTGGTACATATGGAGTTCCCTGCCGATGAACCGACAACGGTGATCGTCTTCTACAGTTTTGCTCAGATAATCATCTGTTCCCAGTCTGCACTAACTTTAGGCACAAAGAGAGACATTGTGTAACCTGGCGACCTCTATCACCAAATCAACACTGGACTCAGATAGACCACATAGCCATAGGGTATCGTTGGCGAGGGTCAGTAGAAGACTGTCGCTCCTTCTGGAACACGTGCGTAGACTCTGATCACGCTCTGGTTCGCGCACGTTTATGCTTACGACTAAATGGACATAAGAAATTGACGGCAGCGAAACAGTTACGTCCTCAACTAGATCGAGACACTGAGTCCTTATTTAAGGAGGAAATAGCGAAACGAATTTCTGAGGTCGACAGTAGGACTTCCCCCGAGGTAGCCTGGCACAACATACAGTTAGCTGTGGACACAGCTGTGAAGGCTGTTAATAAGCTAAAACCTAAAGTTAGTAAAAGCCATTGGATCTCTGCCGCCTCATCCGAACTGATTGACGCAAAAAGACTGATTCCAGCGAGCTCCGATTATGATGAGGAGCGAAAGGTACTTAAACGAAAACTAACAAAACGTCTTCGCAACGACCGTGAACAGTGGTGGGCGACAAAAGCGAAAGAGATAGAAAAGGCATCGGCGATTGGCAACATCAGACAACTATTCAGGCTTATCAGGAAACAGGTGGCAAAAGGCAAATGATAAGTGAAACAATCTCGGAGAAAAATGGCACCATAATTAGCTCCCAGGATAGACGACTAGAACGCTGGAAAGAACACTATGAGGAGCAGTTTAATTGGCCTACAGCCACAATTAACCTACCGAACATCCAACACCTCCCTGAATGGGATATAGACACAGGTCCTCCGTCCTTAACTGAGGTTACTAAAGCTGTCACTAATCTGAAGCAAGGCAAAGCAGCGGGACCTGATGGATTGACTCCAGAGGTATTTAAGTACGGTGGAGACAGTTTACTGTCTGCGTTAACTGAGGTCCTAGGCAGTGTCTGGGAATCAGAGGAAGTCCCATCGGGTTGGTGTAAGTCACTGATCATCCCGATATACAAGAAGGGAGACAAGTCTTCTTGTGATAATCACAGAGGGATTAGCTTGACTAATATGGTATCTAAAATCCTAGGCTCAATAATACTGCGTTGACTAAGTGGTGCTCGGGAGACACAAACACGAGAAAATCAGGCAGGTTTTAGGCCAGGTAGAGGGTGTATTGATCATATCTTCACCCTTCGACAGATTCTAGAACATAGGCTTTTTTTACCGGCGTCCAACAATCATTATATTTCTTGACCTAAAGGCGGCATTCGATTCTGTCGACCGGGAGGTTCTCTGGCGATGCTTGGCTGTAAAGGGAATGCCGAGAAAATACATTGCACTGATTAAGGCACTTATGGCGAGTTGTCATCTGAAGTGGTGACGACTAGTGGCGTCCGTCAAGGATGCCCATTATCCCCATTTCTATTCAACCTCATCATAGATGTATTAATGGACTTAACCCTAACTCACTTCAGAGACTCAGGGATTGACTTGCTACCAGGGAATAATCTAGTTGACTTAGAATATGCAGACGATTTAGTCCTTCTAGGCGAGGACGCTGACAAAATGCAGAGTCTTCTGAGCAACAATCTTCGTATGTTTGGCATGCGATTCGCCCCTGTAAAATGTAACATGATGCTGCAGGATTGGACTACACCGACCCCTAGATTAGAAATAGGAAGTGAAGTGGTAGAGCACGTTGACCACTTCACTTATTTTGGAAGTACCATCAGCCCCAACGGGTTGATCTCTGACGAAATCTCAGCACGAATACAGAGGGCTAGTTTCGCATATGCCAGTTTACGCCGTCTCTGGCGTAGACGTGATATCCGGCTGGCTATAGACCAAAGGGCGGATGTACTGCTAATCAGTCCGCTCCGTCCTCCTTTATGGTTGGCTGCGAGACCTGGCCATTGAGAGTGGAAGACATGAAAAGACTAGCTCTGTTTGATCATAGGTGCCTGTGTTCTATCTCCCGTGTGAAGCGGTATAATAAGGTGAGTAATACACCCCACCCCATCCCCACCGAGTCACAATTTTGATTATTCATCACATTTTTGAAATATTTTGAGGATTTAAGCAATAACCCAAAGTAATTTTTATTCTTGTTCGACAAACCTAATGTACACACACACACACCAAACAATTATATATAACTGTGATTGTATAGCTAAGTGGATGAATCGACTTAGTGTTCGCATCAGCAGTTTTCAGGCCTACAGCTTGCCGCTAAGAAAGATGAAACTGCAGTTCCACATCCATTATTACTTACTCTACTGACTACCAATTGGTTTCAGGATTAAATTCTACTAACTATTTTGCATTACGACTGTTTCACCATGTTTACACTTTTCAGATACGCTAGAGGTTGGAAAAATATTTCATTAAGCTTACTTAACTGATGAGTCTTTTGGTATCCATAAGGTGAATATCAGAGCAACAAATTCATCTATGCAAAAGTTAAGAGATAACATACACAACTACTCGATGGAAGTTATTTTGGAGGTGGTGGTGGTGATAAGTTTCATTGTACCAACTTAAATTAGTGGTGATCAAGACGCTGACTTAAGATATGCATCTCCAAGGTAAGTTTGAATTTCTTAGTTTTGAAAAACTGAGCATTTGGCATATGATTGTATTTCACAATGAATGGAAAACAACGAAACGATACGGTTTCCACTGACTATTTTGCTTTTTGAAGTTAATAGCGTTATTAAAGTAATAGTAAACCAGAATGTAAGAAATATCAGCTTATGTAAGGCAATTCCATTATAGTTCTTCTCTGTGTCTGGAGAGGTGGTTTGTTTCAGTCATTGGGTTCTGGCTACGAATAGCCTAGATAAATGAATAGTGTCATCAAACCTCACGGGACAGTCATGGCTAATGGCTTGATACAGGATAATTGAGTTTTTAATGACTAACTCTTGTGTATTAAATAGTAGGAGACAAGTGGCAAGAGGCCTTGGACCTAGATTTCGTGGTTGTTGTCACTCACCAGTCAGAAAGACGTTATCTGAAACCTTAAGGGAATTCATATTCCGCCTGAGATTCGAACCCGTGTCACCCAGTGCTGAAGTCAGAGAGAAACATTACTACTCAGCAAACTGAACTGATAGGATTCAGTCAGCACCAAACAAAGGACTAGACGCATGACACTAATACCACCACCTAGTATCCCATTAAGGTACTCAATACAGTTCTATAAAAGTTTAATCGCGCGCATGAATAGCCTGGTGGTGACATCTCTGATTTCAGAGCTCGGTGACACGGGTTCGAGTCTCAGGAGGGATATGAGTTCTTTGAAGGCGTATCTGCGCCTTGCTGACCGGTGCGTGCCAACAACCACGAAACTTAGATCCAAGGCTACCTGCCAACTGCCTCCAACCATCTAATACAAACAATTCAGAGTGCACCGTGATGGTGAGCCAGCTAACATGCTAGCGCCACACTGCTAACTTGAGTGATAGAATTCAGTTTGCAGAAAACAAAGGACTAGACAGATGATACCAGTTATTAACTAGTGTCCAAATCAAAGTAACTCTTTTGTATGCATTAATTCTGAGTTGTTGAGTGGGTGGGCTAATAAGGATAAAAAACATGTAAAATGTATAAATTATGGAAAAACAAGTATGTACGTAGCAAAAAATGCTTATCACAAATGCGTTGACTATATCAGCTTGTAAGGAGGAGGGTGTTGGATTCAGGTGAGATTCTGCCTCAATCTGTGATTATTAATTCAACAATCTGAGTTCCATTCTATATAAAGTAGTACTGAAATGAGTTCTTCGTGATTTTTGAATGTTTTCAATGTTATCGAAGTCAACAGCCAAACCTAATTCTATCGCTTTACTCGGTGTACTTTTCTTCTGATCTCGATTTTCTACGATGTCAGGTCTTTATTTGACCAATTTGAATTCTTTTGCAACTTGAAATTGCTCGACGGGGAAGGCGATAGCTTCACATAGGCAACATGCTTTGTGGCCATCTCAACTGATGCAGTTTCACAGTCTTATCGACTGATTTCCCCTCTTGACCTAACATTCTACATTTAACCTCAGTGTTACTCGTCATGTTATACCACCTGGCATTGAGGGTAAGACATAGATGCTTGTGGTCAAAGACAGATAGCCTCTTCATATCTTCCACTGTCAACGACCACGTCTTACAGTCATGAAGGGTAGAGGGAACTGCTGCGCAATCCACACGTCCTTACGTCGATAGTCGGACATCACGTTTATGCCAAAGATGGAGGACTCCGCACGAGCCTTTTGTACCTCTGCACAGATTTCACCGATTACTCCACTAGGTTGACGCCACTTCCGTTTCTATCTTTACACTAGGAGTCAGGGTGGAGTAGTTCGGTAACCTAGTAACAAGTCAATATCTAAGTCGCTAAAGTTGATTAAAGTTATATCCATTTTACAGGAGTACTATGGCTAGTGAAACACCAATTAAAAGCCAAACGAGTAAAAATTGAACAGAAATTAGTAATAATTTACTTTTAATATTGCGAATATAATATGACCTTATGAGGAATTACCATAGCACTTTGCACGGATGTGCACTTAAGTTTGACAAATGCCAGCTGCATGCCAAACAAGCAGATTTCTGATCACAGAATTTAAAAGACTGGAAGATCTGCTGTGATCGCACTAAGATACAACTATAATAAGTAGTATATACAAGGATGCAGTGAAAGATTTCTATCTCTAAACGCACCTGAATTCTACCTATTGGTTCTTAAAATATCAGCTCACAATCAGTTGCATATTTTCCCCTTAAAATCTATTTAATACAAGTCTTACCAACTTCACAAACAGAATGCATTTACATAGTGCATTCTTTAATGAATGCATAGTCATCATGCACACTATAATCTATGCCAACGTGTGACAATTTCGTTAAGGGATAGAACTAGGTGAGAAAGATTTTGCAGCCACAAATAGGAGCACCAGTATAATGTGGCTTAACTTGAGTTATGAGAATGGATCTACCCCCAACTTTTCATTCGGTTTAAGGTAGGGAAATTTCTATAACGCTATAAGTGAAGATAGACCAAAGAAATAATAAGCCTCGAAAATATCATGATTCACATCTTCGTAACTGGGGGTAAAAAATTCCCACTTATTACTCCTACATTTCCACTGATTTAACTTTTGAGCACGGTCATGTACTAGCGAAGGTACAGCATGTTAACAAATTCTATAATTTGAACGGGTAATTCGTGGTCAAAGCGTTTGACGGTTAATCGTACATATTCAAAATGATTATGTGAAGTATAAGGAACATATATTTTGGCGTCATTTATCGGCACAGTCCAGAAGTTATCGATTCCGAATTATATAACGAAACAGAAAAAGAGAGTAAGAACTTAGACCGTTAGTGGTTTGCATCACCACTCACAAACACGCACAAACTAAGAGTTCCGAAAATTCAAATAGGCGCTCTTACGCAGTCAGGGTCATATTCCAATTTAGCGCTTTAGAGTGACGCCTAGACTCTCATAGGCACATTTTTCGACTAAAATTTTTGGCCATGTCCAAGGTCATTGGTGGAGACGCCTGAAGGTCATTTTCGTTCGAGTTAGTCGGCCAATTTGGATTGCAGTTCCCTAACTGTTCGTTTACACGCGGTTATTCCCAAATTATCTTGATGCACAGTGTTGAAAAATGTCGCGTTTGACCACATTTTGGTTTCCGTTGCTGTTAATATTATTTATTTAGTTGGTTTTGAAAGTTTTTACCACCAGGTCATTTCATTCATTTTATTGTAAGTGTTACATACGTTGCATTCATGTGTGGTTGCAGTGTTTTAGTTGTTTTTCAGCTGTTGATAAAGGAGTACTGTGTAGACGTTTTGCAAATTGTACACATTAACATATATAGGTGACAGAAACTGTTGTTTGCAATTCACTCCTCAGTTGCCGTTGTTGTTGCTGGCTCAATATGTAGAAATCTGGAAACAACAATGTCTTTCACGTTCATTTTTATAGCATGCAACAATCTACTAGTCAGTCTGGTGATGACAGCACTATCAGAATTGATATTAACAAGGTCTCCAAGTAATATTAAATATGGAGAATTCATAACCTGGGATGAAATTGAAAAAGCTGTGAAGCTTTTCGAGAAGGTGAGTAAACCATCAGTGTGTCTGTCATCGGTTAACAAACACCCGATAAATTGTCAGAGAATCTGAATTAAACAAGGATGAGCCATATGTGAAGTATGAATATGTGGTGCTTGTATGTTCTTTCGGAAAAAAGAAATCGGAAGGCAGTCACTTCTGTCTTAAAGTGTAAGTTACCTGTGGTTGTTCATGTTTAGTAGAGTAGATCTAAATACATTGGTCGCCCATCATTGATACGCATCCAGTATTAGTGCAGTAAATTTATTATCCCAGTTGCATATATGATTCATAATCGTTGTTGCACACATGAATATTTAAAGAAGTATGTCAAATCAAGCAAATTAAACTAGTTGGAACTGTGTATAGTTAAGACAGTGCTGCCTGTTTCATCCAAATGTGAAAAAAGTTATTGAGTACGAGGCAGAACTATTTAAGAAGAGGATGATGTACGGCAATTCACTAGATATCAGAGCTACTGTAGTTGAAGGTAGGACTTTGACTGGCAAGAACAACCTTTCATATTGTGGTTTATGG